AAAAAAAAAAAAAAAAAAAAAACAAGCCCCATCACTGTAGCTTTCCTAACCCGTGCTCGGGTTTTCCATTTCATCTTCCATTTCTCCAAAGGCAACAACACTCTGCTGCCAGTCGCCGCTCTTCCTCGCCTTCTGACTCCAGGACCCTCCTCGTCCCCGGGTGGGCACCAGGTGCCATCAGTCTATTCAGTCCCTGGGGTTTCTCTCGCGTCTCGGAGCCCCACTCTGCATTTAAGTCCGGAGCCCCACTCTGCATTTAAATCACGGCCCTGTACGCTCCTCCCCGCGCAGGTTTCCACGTGGAGAGCCCGGTGGCCAGCCGTCCTGCTGATGCCCCCAGCTGAGAACTTCTGAGGCAGAGCGCAGACTTCCTGGGGCTCCATACAGCAGCGCTTCAGAGTCCAGCTGCCAAACACACAGATGCCAGGCCCTACCTTGCGCTTAGGAAGCAGCACCTCGCTCAGGGTTGCAGACCCCACATTTTCACTCAAAGAGTCGAGAACTACTGTTTAAAAATTTTCCTCTCGGGCCCGCCAGATAGCTCAGTGGATTAAAGCACCTGCGTAGGCAGACACAGGGCCCAGGGGTTCAACCCCAGGGCTGCTGTGCCAGCCCCACCCCTGGGGTGCCCTGAGATGGCGATTGAAACTGGGCGTGGTGGCATGTGCCTGTAATCCCAGCACTTTGGAGGCTGAAAAACAGGAGGATTACACAAGTCTGATCTGAATAGTGAGACCCTGTAGACTCTGTACTAGATACATTAGAAAAATAACAATTCTCTCCTCCTCCCTACTCTCCTCTTAAAATCGCACCTCCTTTCACTCCCTCTCTCAGCTGTGCAGACTCAGGACTTAGGCCCCCGCGCACGCCGCCCCAGCCTTCAGCTCCCTGACCCTCAGTACCATGGTCAGGCGCAAGTCAGGTCTCCTGAGCAACTCACTCGCTGGTGGTGCCGGGCTTGGGGGCTCCAGGACTGCATCAGACCTGCTCGTCCACTCCCCTGGGCCAGCAGTGGGATGGGAAAACGGAGTGCCCCAAACAGAGGCGCTCCGGGACTGCTGAAATCACACGCACAACAGCTCACTAGCGTGCAGGTCTGCAGGACTGGCGCGGTAGCTCTGCTCCTCTGACCCAAGGGCTTCCTGCAGGTTCGCAAAGGGCCTGGGCCTCTGCGGCCTGCACCCCCACTGCACGGACCAGCCTGCACCCCCATTGCACGGACCAGCCTGCACCCCCACTGCACGGACCAGCCTGCACCCCCACTGCACGGACCAGCGGCCTGCTGGCTGTGCTGTCAGCTGCATGCTTGTTAGACATGTTACCATAACATCCAAGTATATTCTTTAGAACCTTAAAACTGAGTTATTATCTCAAAACATAGACGCTTCACAGTCGAGTTTATTTGGAAAGTAGTAAAGCTACCTCCCCCCTTAGATATTTACAGGGTTGGGGGAGGCAGGGATTTGGTTTTGGATTTTCAAGATAGAATCTTGCTATGTAGCACAGGCTGGCTCCAACTCTCAGCAACAGCCCTGCCTCAGCCTCCCGAGTCTGGGCTTACAGGCTGCACAGCAGTGCCCAGGCTCTCTGCCGTTATTATGGTTCACTTAGCACCACCGACAGTCTTACCCTCTTTTACACACACTATCCTTGCATCCTCGTGTGACAGGCAATTCTCACTAACTACCTAATTTCTGATTATTAAAAGCTCTCAACCCAGAACCCCAGGGAACCCTTCCTGCCCATACAAAAGTGCCAGGCCCTGTTCCCGATCTCCGGGCTCCTCTCCACAGCTTCGCCAGGGGACATGGGTGCCACTGTGCTGCAGCAGCTGACCTTTCGCCAGAGGTTAGGAAGCAGCATTTTGTTTCCAAAAAGAGCAAAGAACCTTTCTCCGAGCTGAGCTCAACAGGACTCCGTGAACGTCACCCTTCCGTGAAGACGAAAGCTCCGCTGAGAGCGTGAGCAGTTGTCCTCCACACGGTCAGGGTCACTGAAGCCAGACAGTCTACAAATGTCACAGTCAAAGCCTGCGAAGGCCACGAGAACCGACTCCGATGCTGTCCTGGACGGGATCCCAGAACACACTAAGGAGGCCAGGTGGGGCTGGGAGTCGGTAACGATGGCAACGCGTCCTCCAGTGAGAGGTTACCAACAGCGAAACGAGTTTAGGGTTTAGAGAAACTGATCTCAAGGAGTTATTTTTTTAAATCGTCATCTTAAAATGGAAAAAGAGAACAGGAGAGAAAGGGTTTATTTACACAAAGACTGAAAAGTGCTGCTTGTCTGCTCTAGGAGAGAAGATACCTGAACAGACTGCTTGGATTAAAGAAAAAGATCAAACAGCCAGAAGGAAAACGAGAAAATAAAATTATTTCTTCTGAGAGAATAAACGTATTTCTTCTGACCTTCCCCCACCAGAGCCCTCCAGGGTCAGCTCTGAGGACCAGGTCACTGACCCCAGCCTTCGGAGCAGGCCCACCACTCCACACAGACACACGGGTGCCAGGCCCAGCTCGTCCATCCAAACCAATGGCCTGCAGCCCCACTAAAGAAGCTCAGTGGGCGCAGCTGGAAGGACGCAGCGCTGGACATGGGCGTTCACTCGCACGGCTGCAGGCCTCATGCCATCATGGGGCCCAGGAAAGCCAATGTAAGCCCCAGTGTTCCGGGGCCAGACGGGACCGGGCGTGCAGGGGCTAGGGCGGGAGGGGGACGGCACACCCAGTACTCTTCTAACATTCGAGAAGCCGTAGACATCCTGCCCTCACCTTACAGAGAAACCCAGGCACTCCAGGCCACTCCAAGGGTCACTGCCCCATGAATGGAGCCCTCCAGACCCTGGGGCCAGCTAACCTACCTCCTTCCCACACACACACCAGCAGCTGACAGCTACTTAGTAATCACAGTCACCATCTCTGCGGCTGCTGGTTCCTTGCGGAGACGGAGAGAGCTCACTTCAGGGAACAAAGCCACCTGCCCCGCGCTGCCTCTTCCAGTGCCCCTGGGTCTCGCATACCAAAGCCCAGGCCCTGGACCATGACGATCATTACTGCTTGTCACCGACTCGCTGTTGCCCCTCACCAGAACCCTGTGGCAGGGGCTCTGTCAGCATGCCTACTGTTTTTCATTTTTTCAAGGCTGGGATGACCCCAGGCCTTCACAGAAGCATCACACCAGTCCTCTGTGTAATTTAAGTCGGGGTCTCATTGAAGTCAATAGGTTGCCCACACAGGGCTTAAGCTATGGTCCTCCTGCCTCGGCCTCCCAACATGCTAGAATTACAGGCATGCACCGACACACCAGCTCAGCAAACCCACTCTACAGGACAAAACTAGATGTGTTGACAAGGGGCCATAATCCCAGCACTCTGGAAGGCTGAGGCAAGAGGCTCAAGATTTCAGGTATTGCCTAGACAACTTCACAACATAACAAGACCCTGTCTAAAGATAAAAAATAATAAAGGATCTGGGGACAACTGAGAGTGAAGACCCAGGGTTCAATCCCTGATGCCACAACAAAAAAAATACAAAGAACAGCCATTTAACCACCCCAACTCTAACAACCAGCAAGTAATAAGCCTTGTGCAAAAGAATCAGAATAGTAAAATCTGTCCTGCAATCTTACAAAACAACACGCGACTGAAATTCTACCCAGTAACTACACTCCAGAGCATACAGAGAAATGGACATGTGTGTGCCCACAAAGCCACATACATGACATCATGCCTGCTTTCTTTACAACAGCCAGAAACTGGGGCAGTGTAGCTGTACTCCTGCCCAGTGACCCAGGGCGAAACAAATGTTGAGCTGGTCCATACAAGCCAAAGAGTATTAGACAGCAACAAACAGTAAAACACTGTTGATACGATAAACACAATTTGAATATAATTCTAGGGAGGAATTGTGCTCAGTGGGATCAAAAAAAAAGCCAATCCAAAAGGTTAAATACTACATGATTCCATCTACATACTATTTTGTTTTGTTTTGTACTGGTAATTAAACTCAAGACCTTGCACTTGCCGGGTAGGCACTTGTGCCACTGAGCTCTATCCCCGGTCACCCATATTTTTGAAGTGACCAAATTTTAGAAATGAACAATAGATAATGCTCCAGGGACCAGGGTCAAAGGCAGGCACCGGGAGGGGGGTAGAGGTGGTTCTGAAGACAAGATCGGGGCTCCTGGAGATGAACTCTTCTGTTTCTAGTCTGGGATGCACAAACCTACAGGTGCCAAAACTGGAGAGGACGATTTCCACATGGCTGTGTGCACACACACGCGCGCACACGCAAGCACAGAGAAAACTGGGTGACGCTGAACTGCACCAATACACGCTGGCTGTGACAGCTCACTGCCCTTCTGCAAAACCTCAGTCTTGGGAGAAACTAGGTAAAGAGTATGCCAGATCTCTGGGTATCAGCTCTGAGGGCTACATGTACATTCACACTCAGTTCAGGTACAATTTTTGTTGTTGTTTTGTTTTGCTTCGTTTTTGAGATGGGGGTCTTGCTACGCAGTGCAGGCTGGCCTTGAATTCACTACGTAACCACGCTGGCCTGGAACTCGAGGCCGTCTTCCCGCTGTAACCTCCTAAATGCTGGGGTTATTAACAAACGCTGGGATTATAGCCTTGCACCATGAAACCTAACCTAAATATTTTTTTAAACCTTACCTGCCCAAAAGCTGGTCGAGGTACTACTAGTATTGCGGATTTATTTCATCTAAAAGCTGCAGTTTCCAGTGTCTCCTAAGAAAATCTTTCCACGTCTTAGAACAACAGCTTCAAAAGCCAAAGCTAAATTAAAACTCCTGACATAAAGAAACTAAGAAAATAAATCAGTGTCTAGAATTCTCTCTGGTGCTTTCAAATCGCTATGAAAATTATTCCTGGGCTGGGCAGATGGCTCAGTGGAATAAGCGCTTCCCTGGCAAGCGCAAGGGCCTGAGTTCAGTCCCCGGTTCCGCAAAAAAAAAAAAGAAAAAAGAAAAGAAAAAGAAAAAAAAGAGAATTATTTCTGTTAGAGTTCCAGCTCAGAAATATTCTCTCTCACCAAATATTCTCACCTGGTCTCGGTGCCACATCCACCCCCCAAAAAATCTTTTTAATCAGTAATGAATTTAGATTTGGGCTCTTTCACTATGCAAAGAGCCAGAGGGTTGGCACCGGGGCTTGACGCGGGCAGAGCAGGACACAGACCAGGGCCTTAGGGGCTGAGCAGACCCCGAGTAAAGGTGACCTTGGGCGGGTCTGCGCTTCCCACCTGCAGAAGGGAAGCGGCGCGGCACCTCTTCCGCGTGTCCTGGGGCGAATCCAGAGCCATCCCTGAGCCCGACTAGGGTTTCCTAGCCCCTTTCCTCCTCCGGGCCATCCTTAGTGTCAACCTAGCAAACGCAGGTGCGCTGCGCTAACCACACGGTACTCCCTGCCTATCACCCTTGGTGGGGTCAGCAGAAAGCCCAGGCGACCTCCCCTACCACGCACGCTCCTCTGGGGGAAAAGTGATCCCGGGACACGGCCCGCGCTCCTGACTCGCCCCGGAAGCGACTGTCACCATCATCGCTCACAGGCGCCGCTAGCCGCGTGGGGTGACCTGCCACGCGTGCCTGTGTCCCTGGCAGCGCTTCCCATGCCGACTCCTGACTGTGACCGCGGGCAGCCGCACGGCTCCCGGAACGCAAAGGCCAGCGGCGAGGTCCCCGAGCGCCGGGCGGAGGCGACGCTGCCACGCGCGCACGGACCCCGAGGTCGCGATCGGGACTCCCGGGGCGGGCGGCACTCACCGTCCGTGCTCCTCCGCGCGTCGCGGTAGCGCGCCCACAGGTAGTGCTTCATGTCCCCAGCGGCCCCGGGCGCAGAGCACAGCGGCCGGGCGGGCCACGCGCGGGGCCAACCCCGG